ACTTGGCCATGTCTGATTCTTGACAGGGTGAAGAATAGCTTCAACCTCAGATAGAGTTTCCTCATCCCTCCCAAAGGTGGCAAGTTCTTCAGCCGCAGCTACGTTTTCCTCCACCTGTTTCAAAATTTTTATAACTTGGTTAAGATTCTATGATGCAATCTTTGAAGAAGTTTGCATGGTCACGAAGAAAATATGAACAAACACTATATTCAGCTCATCGAGATTGATTTTTAGGGCTTAAATCCAAGGGAGCCCAATCAAGAGCTAGTTTGGACACGAACATTGTATGAGAATAAATATTCACGAGCATTTAGACCAATTTATGTGCACCTCAACTAATCTCACAAGATAACCGTCAAACTTCGTAATATTTGTGTTAGGAATCACGACTATCTACAATGGTATGATATTGTCCACTTTGAGCATACGCTCTCATGAGACTTTACTTTGGATTTTCCCAAAAGGCCTCATACCAATGGAGATAATATTCCTCACTTATAAACTCATGGTCCTCCACAAAATTAACCAATGTGGGACTCACTACTCCCAATAATCCTCGACAATTTGGTCAACTCATAGGATTTTAACATTCTAGGTAGCAATATAGGATGAAAATTATACTTCGAAAAACTAGCTTCTCGTAATATTAGTATTCAAACTAGCAACACGAAACTCCAACATTTTTCCTCCTCGGTCCTCTCTTGCTAACCATTTTTGCAATTCTGCTATAATCTTGATCGAAGCCAATAAGAGTGGATGCGGACTGTCATCGATCTCCTTTTACGTCATGGTGTGGGATGATCCCTCTAAAATTATTCTTTCTAATTAAATTTTTATTTCCAACCAAAAAGAAGGAAACAGTTCATAAATCCAAAGGTAAATTCAAAAAGTCTAATGACCTTTTAGGAACTACCTATCCATCAAAAAGAAGTTTATTTAACTTGCTCTCTGCTGTCCCAATTCCTTCCATACAAAAGTTCTCTTTTTGCCTATCCCTCCACCTTGTGTGGTCTGCTTGTATCGGTATATTTTCGTCGAATAAAAAATTAATCTGGTTGACTTTTTTTATCCATGAAAGATAAACAATATTGGAAAACAAGGACTTCCTCCTCACTGGTGTCGAAGCAAGTTTTTTCAACATCGAAGTAGGCATGTACAAGCATGGACCAGGAAATTACCAACTAATGGATACAGAATGAGTATATATACACACCATGGCACAGGGGCGCATCACGATATTCAAAAAAAGGAGAGATTGAACTCGTAATATATTGAAAGAAATATCGACAAAGAATACTATAAATGTGATTATTGAAAGATACCTGTCTGACAGAGTTCATGCCAACCAGAACCGTTGAAATATCTTTGTTTGACAGACTGTATTGGAGGGCTAACTTTGAAATATGTTTTCCTTTCTTTTTACAATGAGCAGCTGCAGCTTGGCATGCAGACTGAATCCATTTAAATAAGAGAACAATATCAGAATCCAATGTAAAGCCAAAGCTCAAACAAAACACAGTTCGAAAAAATAAAAGATAAAATCACAGCACTAGAACAAATGGTTTTGGGTTAGTTTGTATGGTTGAATGAACTAGTCATTACTGCATACTATAATCAACACCTAGACAATAAAATTTCCACGATGGGACCTAAACGCCATAAGAGTAAAGAACGAGAAATGTACTCCCCCAAACAAATGTGTTTTCTTTGCGTGACATCAGTCAACTGAAAGCGCTTTCCCTGCATAAGCTTTTAAGTTTCACAATTCAACTAGGGAGCTAATGAAAGAAAGGGGGGGTGAGAAACTGTACCTTCAATTCTGGTGAAGCTGGGTGCCATTCTGGGGGACCATAATCAGTTAGAAGTCCCATTGCTAGAGGAGACGCACTGATTATTCCAATCTCCTTACTCTTTAAGTAAGGTAGCAAATCTAACAATGTTGAATCGTTAATACTGTAGTGACAATATGAAAGAATCACATCAATGGAGCCAGGTGGCACTCGATCAAGCACATACGTAAAAATTTCCAATGGAAGTCCCGTAATACCAATGAAACGAGTCTTCCCAGCTTCCTTCAGCTTCTGAAGTGCAGGAATCGTTTCATTCACAACCTGAAATAAATTTAATCGGATGAAGATTCACTTTTTACTTGATATTATAATGCCAATAACCATGTTCATAGCTTTTTAGAACTCAAGGACAAAGTTGTACAACCTATAAAACTAAAATTCTGTACATGCAAGGTCACATGACCATGTTAATAACTAAAATTCAATGGTCAATGAGTTCTTAAGAAAAGTAACAAACCTGATCAAGAGATCCAAATTCGATATCATGGCAATGCAGTATATCAACATAATCTAGTTGTAGCCTAGCCAAACTCTCATCAATGCTCCTCGTCACCCTCTCAGCACTGAAATCAAAACCCTCGGCATATCTCCCGCACTTCGTTGACACTATATATTCACTCCTTGGAACATCTAGAGCTTTCAGTCCCTTACCAAGCATTTTTTCTGATAAGGTCCCTCCATAGTACCTTCACGCATGTCGTAGAAGAGGCATACCCAAATTCAGTGCTAGAGCCAGAAATCATATAGAAGACAACCAAACTAGCCCTTACATATCCTTACCAGTGAACTAAACATATAAAAAATGGAATGATTAATACCTAAACTTTCAATAACATCAAATCAGACATCAAACCTGGATACGCGTAGCAATATTTCAAATCTTTGTTGCGACTTACATTTACCTAAACAAATCTCAACAAAAAAGCAACACAGAACTTCCTAGAGCCAAATCGAGCCAACAAATTTCAACGAAAATCAAGCATGCACAAAGTCAAGTCCAAATAAATGAACATGCAAGACCAAGCATTGAACAATTCTCAAACTCTAGCTCTATTGTTTGATGTAGAAACTCGTCAATTTCATAAGAAAGCCTCTCTCACTCACTAAGCGCATAAGAAAATAACAGTTACGAATTCCATACGGAGAGGTGTCGAAGAAGTTGATGCCAAGACGGAAGGCTTCACGAACGGAGGCGACGGCATCCTCCTCAGAAACAAGGCCGAAGACGCTGCCGAGAGGCGAGGCACCAAAGCCGACACTGCTGGTTTTGAGGCCAGTGTTTCCCAGCTTCCGAAGCTGGAGCTTGGGATAAGAAGCCGCCATTGATTCCGATGAAGCTCTCAGAATTTGGAACAGAGTACGATCTTCCCGGGAAAGGAAGTGACAAAGGGGATTCTGATTTTGGAAGAAAAACGCCAAGTTGAGGGACCGGGTTGCAGATGAGGAACTGCCGTAGCCGCTAGGACAATTAAACAAATTCGTTTTTCAAAAGGGCATTTTAGACATTTATTAAATCGAATTTTAATTTTTTGAATTAATTATTATTCTTTTTCTTTTTTTTTTTCTATTTTTCAAAACGCATATTTAATTTTACCATTTATACCCCTGGTAAATTCTTGTATTTGCAGTCAAATCATCTTGACCAAATTTTAGTCTTTTTTTTTTTTAAAATATATTTTTTTTACTAAATTAATAAAAATATCGGTAAATTTTGTATTTTTATCTAAAAAAACATAAACTTTCCAAAAGTATTAATAATACTCTCAATTATTTTTAAAAAAAAATCTAAAAAATATATTTACGTCAATTTTGAATAAAAATTGTTAATATTTTGTTTCAAAAATACTCTCACTATTATGGTTAAAAGATACCTATAAAATTTTTAACTTTTTTCCGAAAGTTTTAAAAGGTATGGTTAAAATTTTAAAGATATTTTTATTAATTTAGCTAATATATTTGTATATAAAAATTAAATAAATTTAGATATTTTGTGTTGTCTGACTGATATGTCTAATTTAAAAAGAGTTATCCACACCATAAATATAAATTTTGGTTAATATTTTTTAACTTAATATCCATAAAGTTCTCGATCTCCCTCAGTTGATCAAGTTGTACAATCGATCGACAACATGCAACTTGAGTAATTAGCTACCAATAAATACCGATGACATTGAATGATATCTAAATCACGATGCAACACTTAAATTATTTGTTTATCGGGCAATCAGATTGATGGACACAACAATAAAAGCAACAAATGATCTAAGGAAGCATTAAAAAAAAAAAAAAAAAAAACTTCATGCTTGACATGTTTGTCTAGGTCATGTTGTCTGTAGTCGCATGCTCATTCTTGTATTATAGGGGATGTGACTCGTCGTCAATTCTTCCTGCCCAAGTTGTACACCATCAAAATAAATCGTAGTTGTTCCTTACTTGCTTGTTAGCTTTTAACACTGCTTTCAAAAATTTGCTCGGTCCTCATTTTCTAAAATGTTATCTTAAGAACGAGGTCAAAGGCTTGAGTATACATCAACAATACTAATGGCAACCCAACTTTTAGTTGGCTAACGTATTCGTAGGTGCGATTGTGACACCTAATGCCAACTTCTGTTTGACGTCACGGACCATTTAGAATCATTTTTAAATGAACAAATGAACTAATATAGAATGATAGCTAGAATCGACTATTTAAATGTCAACTGGAATCTAATTAATGCATAATTCAGGACAATTTAGAATCATTTATAAATATGTAGTTTCTCTGATTATAAATAATTTTTTTATGGTTAGGGGTATTTTTCGAACATTATTAAAAGTTTAAAGGTAATATTCGAACATTATTTGAAAATAAAAATTAATGATTTTTATTCCAAACTAATATTTTTTAGATTTTTTTTTTTTTTTTTAAGTTTAAAGGTTTTATTAAAACTTTATAAATTTAGAAATATTTTAGATAAAATACAAAGAACTATATTTTTATTTATTTAGAAAAAAAAATAAAAAATAAAATAGATAGGAAACACATATATATATATATTATGGAAGATTTAAAAGTTGGAGGATGAATAAAATATTTTAAAAATAAAATTTAAAAAAGGAAATAAAAGAAACAACCGAATTTGGAAACCCATAGATTTATATATTTATTTCACAAAGTCTTGATTCAAATTCCGCGCAGAAGCTTTCCAGATATCTTCAATGGAACATCAAATCTCTCGATACGAAAACCTGGTGGTGGAAGTACTTACAGATCTTCCGACGCCGTCACGAATTCCAAAACATCCGTCACGAATCGAACACATCGGCCTAATCTTCACCCTCCGTCACCGTCGCAGCCACTTCGAGGTATCGGAGAGCGGCGAACGACGACTAATCCAGCAGCGAGAAACCCTAAAAATTCCACTCTGCGACAATCAATTCCGCGCCGAAATCTTCAATCGAGACGACGATTCTCTGTTCCACAACCTCTCCAGTAGTTTCCAGAACTTCAAACCAGAAATCGACGCGGAACCGGTCGCTGATGCCCTAATTGAGCGGTGGATTGAAATTAGGGACGAAGCGAATTCGAGAAGCTCGGACAGAGTGTTTCCGATGACGGTGAATTTGACGATGTGGCACATTGTGGCTCGGTATGAAATCGGCGTCGGTAGTGGTGGAGACGGCTGCGGAATGGTGCCGGCGTGCGGCGGCGCGGTTGGGAAGATGTTGAGGAGATTGGAGAGGGAGGATGAAGTGGATGGAATTTGTGTGATCTGTTTGGATGAATTGAAGAAAAAGAAGAAGAAGAATGGAAGATTTGGTTTACAGATGCCTTGTTTACATGTGTTTCATGGGAATTGCATTGAAGATTGGTTGAAGAATAGCCATTATTGTCCGATTTGTAGATTTGAAGTGCCAATCCAAAAGAATTCCCAATTGTTTTAGGTTTAGTTTGATCATTATTAGGGTTTTAATTCGATAGCGATCTCGCTTTTAGTTCGTTTTCTTCAAATTAGAGATATTAACTTGAATTTTTGATTTGGTTCATAGGTTTTTCTAATCCTCGATTAGTTGAACTAAACTTGTCTGAATCTTGTCACTATCATCTAATATCACGACAAGTATAGTGGTAACTATATCAGGTGAAACTCACCTTGATTGACTAGACATCAATTCATATCAACTAGAGGTAAAGTCTCCCAGAACTCTCGCTATGAACCACTAGATAATTGTAATTATCCACTTCCTTGCTTCCTTAAGCCACCATTCAGGAGTCGAAGTTGAATTATCGGGGATTTGTTGAGGTAGAGACTAGAGAAGGAAGCACTTAGGTTTCTTCGAAACGAGAAGAATAGAAATTCTTCTATTCGATGAATATGGGAGGACTAGACATAACTTGCTTAAACCCGAATTTGCGTTGAAAGAACAGACGTCATAACATAGTTAAAAAGTAATCATTTAAGGTCTCATAGATACACGTTGCATACTCGTATTAACTGTATGCATATTTTACCTCATTAGAATGTTACGTACTTAGTATTTTTAATATTCTAACTTTGTCAACATTTGTGGCATAATCAACCATGCTCGTTGATTTTGATTATTATTTTTTACCTTAGACTTTGAAATTTAAATATTTTAAAATAAAATTCCACAAATATCTATCAACGTCGATATTTATCAATTTTTTTAAAAAAATTAAAACTTTAACATATGAATAGGTATTGACATTTTAAATATTTAATAATTTAATTCAACTTTGTTTATATAAATAATATATTGATTCTATTTGGTCCAAATCTTTAAGATAAATATAATGAAAGAGGAATTAATAGAAATATATTGGAAATAAATAAATAAATAAATAAATCATTTATGTGACACACGCTTAACCGATTAAATATTTTTAATATTCATCAACGGTCAACATTTTATCAATATTTTAATAAATAATAATTAAAAAAAAAAATCAACACCATTTCTTTTTTAATAGAATTAACATCAGTTATATAAGTTATTAGTATAAATATAGATGAAATAGGAATATAAATATTATGCATATATAATTGATTATAATATTCTAATTAATTGAGACTAACTTAGATTAAAGATAACTATTTAATTTTGGTGGAGATTTGCCTCGAAGAAATTTTGGGGAAAGAGAAAGGAAAGTAATAAAGTGGGAAACCTCTCACTAGCAAATGCGTTTTAAAATCGTGAAACTGACTAAGATATGTAATGCGTCAAATCTGAGACAATATCAGTCTATCAGCTCTAAGCTTAGGCTGTTATAATATTCTTCATCCATATCATGTTTTGAGAAGATTAAGATTGAAATAGTCAAACCAATTCCGTGACGTGTCAAACTTAGACGAGAAGGTTGCCATAGCTACAGCTACATCCATGACTTGTTTATTAACCTGTAAGTGTGAATCCTTTTCCAATAATTGCAGCAATATTATATTCTCAAAAGAATTGGGAACTCATAAATGTTCATCAACATCACTATTTTAATGAATCATCAACCCAGTAACCAAAATTTCAAAAGCTAGTCGGTGAAGTTGCTCTCACAAAGTCCACAAAACAACAAAAAGAATCGCAAATCAGCTATCATTTTGTCATCCAAGAGTGACCCATTACTTATTCTCCCGTTTTTTGATCAATAAAGGTTGAAAAAGGCTCTCCATGTCGATTTCCTTTCTGGGTTTCGACGAATTCAAGGTTTTCGACATTATTAAGGTTCTTTCCCCTTTTTCTGAAAATGGGTTCTTGTTGATTCTCCATTGTTGTGGGACTGTTCTTTTGTTATTGCTTTTGATGGGCTGTGGAGAAAATTAGGGTTCGTGAATTGACCCTGTTTGTGCTTTTTTTTTTGTAGTTCAGAGAAGCTTAGTTTTGGAGAAGAAGAAGATTTTTGAATGGAGAGATCATCTAGGGTGGTTTTTTCTGAGATGGTAAGAGGATTTTATGAACTGAATGCTACTTTGGAACTTGTTTGTGTGTGGTTATGTAAAATCTGTTTAGGAATATGTGAGATTGCAAGTCTGTTGGAGCGGGGAACCGAACATTCATTCATTATAAGGGTGTGGAAATATCTGTCTACGAGATGTGTTTTAAAGACTTTGATGGGAAGCTTGAAAGGGATAAGTCCAAAGAGGACAATATCTGTTAGTGGTGGGGTTGGCTGTTACAAATGCTATAGAGCTAGGCACGGAGCGATATGTCATTGAGGACGTTGGTCCCCAAGGGGGTGGATTGTGGGATCCCACGTCAGTTGGAGAGAAGAACAAAACATTCCTTATGAGGGTGTGGAAACATCTCCCTACCAAATGAGTTTTAAAGACTTTGAGAAGAACCCCAAAAGGAAAAGTCCAAAGAGGACAATATCTACTAGCGGTGGGCTTGGGTAGGAGTTCCTATGTTTGAATCTAGTTATGTCTTGTTCCTTGTTCCTATGTTCGAATCTGGTTATGTCTTGTTCCTATGTTCAAATCTGGTTATATCTTGTTCTTCCTATATTTGGTTGGATCTTGTACTAATTAGGGACGTGTTAAGAACGTGCATACCTTAAACCAACTCGAGTTTTTCGATAGTGTTGTTCTTGAAAACGTTTGGATTAGGAAAGGAAATGAGACATTGATGAAGTCTATATCCATTTTAGGGAATGGAGGACAATGGCTTTGTCAATCAGTGGCAGAAGAGCTCAATAGATGAGCTTGGCGTCCCATTAGCAGCAGCTTTTGGGGAGGATTTGCAGCATTCTTATGCTCAGTCAAACATCGATCAGAAGGCTACTTTAAACTGTTCTCACAACGCCATACTCGGGTATGTGAAACAGCTCAAGAGTGATGGATGGAGTTCGTATCAAACGAATAATCATTCGTCAAACTCACCAGTCGTTTCTTATCCGACTGCGTCTGTTTCGGCTTCCAACTACACGAACCAAATGGACTTCACGAGGCCGAAAGAGGAGGTCGTGTGTCCTCGGAGTATTAGCAACCTCCCTTCTGATATGTTGGTTTCTCAGGACACATTACGCCACCCGAGCCATGGAACGAAAAGTACCTCTACAAACAGTAGAATCCCACAGGCTCAAGATCACATTCTTGCAGAGCGGAAACGTCGAGAGAAGCTTAACCAGCGGTTTATCGCTTTGTCTGCTATAGTTCCTGGCCTAAAGAAGGTGGTGATTCTTCTTTTTTCCCCCTACCGTTCTTTTAGTTTTCGAGTTTTTTGCATCGAACATTGATTTGTTAGGTAGATAGAACCGAAAAGAAACTTTTGAACTCGGTTTTTTCCTTTGCTGCTGATAGATGGACAAGGCTTCAGTTCTTGGAGATGCCATTAAGTACCTGAAACAGCTCCAAGAGAAAGTGAAGATACTAGAGGAACAAACCCGCAGGAAAGACATCGAATCCGTGGTATTCATCAACACATCAAATGAGGACGACGACGCACTTCCCGAGATCGAAGCAAGATTATGCGACAAAAACGTCCTTATAAGAATACACTGCGAGAAAAAGAAAGATGTCATAGAGAACACAGTTGCTGAAATTGAAAAGTTGCACCTTACAATAGTCAACAGCAGTGTAATGTCATTTGGGAGTCTTGCTCTCGACATAACCATTATCGCTCAGGTAAAAAACTACCCCGACCAACTATGTCGATATCTTGATATCGATATTTTGATCTGTCTACGTGCAAACACGGGGCTGTTTCTTGAAACGGTTCACCTTTTTGCAGATGGATAACGAGTTCTGTTTGACGTTAAAGGACCTCGTGAAAAAGTTGCAGTCGACTTTGCACTCGTTCGAATGAGAACGAACCGGCTGTTTCTTGAACTGTTCGCCTTTCTTTCTTAAGGTGTTATGCTTACAGGGCTGTGATGTTGCACCAAATTTGGACCAATAACCTTGAAGCAGACCAGTTGGGAGAATCACATTTTAGGTTGGTTTTTTGTTTTGTGTTTCGTTTTTGCATGGGAAATCATATTCTGTCAGTCACCTACCTGTGTTCAATAGAAGTGTTCATCTCACAGCTTGTTTGGAGGGTTTTTTCCCATTGGTTTTTTTACTTCTGTTGGTGTTTTAGAGGCATCCTTGGAAAAGTCGGTGGCTTTGGTTTATAATGCATTGTTTGGAAGTGATGAAATAGTTCAAAACTTTGCTTTTTTGTTACAAGTTTAGTCTATGAACGATCGAAGGGATTCATCGGTCCTTTGTGGATCTGTCCTACGAGCGATGGTATAAGAAGAATTTTAATCCTAGAAAGCACGGGAAAGAACGAAATAAAGAATAGACTTGTACTTTTATTAAGGGACAAATCCATCGAACTTTGTTACCAAGTTCTTGGTCTTATTGCTCTATGCATTGTCTCCTTCTAATGATGCACGAGAGTTTGTCTTCCTTCCCCTTCTCTCTATCGTTCTTTGTTTATGTAATACCTCGAGCCCACTACTAGTAGATATTGTCCGCTTTGGCCCGTTATAAGTTTTTTTTATGTAATAGCTCGAGCCTCACAGTTTTATAACGTGTCTTCCAGGGAGAGGTTTTTACACCCTTATAAAGAATGTTTTGTTCCTTTTTTCAACTGATGTGGGATCTCACACTTCATTTAGTAGGTCATCTTAAAACGGCAAGTGAAGGGATCAAATAGACACAAAAGTATATTAGATAATAGGGGGTTCGGGTATGAAGACACAGTTGGTCTCAAGCTCGAATGCTATCACTATAGGGAGAAGCACATGTTGTGACACTCACACTTTGAACGACATTTTTACTTACTAGCAATTACGGTAGCATCGATAGGTCATTATCATTTTGATGTTTTATCCTTTAAAGTAGTGAATTCTACCCTAATGTAATAAGAAAAAATTCAACTATCTCGAATTGATGTATCGTTTTGAATATCTTACATAGAATTATGTCAATTATCTCGAATAAACTTCAGAAACTAATTTAAACTATATACTTGTTTCAGATGTATTTCTTTAATA